ATATGAAAAACAGAAGTTTATTTTTATTATCTCTACGTCACTATTAGTTTTCCTGATTCCCATTGTTACACAACAAAGTTCACAATTAATATTAAACTTTGGTGGTATAACCATTATACTTTTATATACTTTTGCATGTAACAATTTAATAGTTTATGCGAAGTACGTATAAAGCATACCTTAATTAGCCTTTAACGTTAAATAGTATATAGCTTATTTAGAGGCTATTAATAGATATACATAGAACGTTATGTATTTTAGTTCTTTAGATTTTTTTAGTTAGTCTGGTAATTGTTTTTTTAGAGAGTTCTAGGATTTTAGGGACTTAGTAGATTTTGTATTTTGGGTTTTAGTGTACTAGGTTGGTTAGTTTCGGAAGGATATTTGCTATTGTTAGTGTCTGGGACACAATAAAGGATATTGGTTTAGTACTTTGGATACTTGGAAAGAGATAATAGATGCTTGCTTTATTCTTTTTAATGTTGACGGCCTTGAGTTAAATTGGCATTGATATAAGGAAGTCTCTATATGCATCATAAAAATTGCTGTTCCACTTCTTTTTGCAAATAGCTGTAAGTGGATTTAATGAAATTATAATTTGGGGTAGAATTTATTCTATATAAACCTATATCCTAACACTAAAATCCTAAGAAATTCCAAATCCACTTATAGCTGTTTCAAAAAGGTGTGAACAGACGCAAATAACTATATCACAGATTTCCAAAACTTTCAAAGCCACCTCTAATCGAATCTTCAATTTTTACTAATGATAATTTCCCAATTCTTCGATTTCCCACATAGGTATGTGGAAATCGTTGTTCACATCTTTTTGAAAACAGCTGTAAATTACATTCCCACTTACAACATAGTACTATCGTCGTGACTTTTAATACGAATAAATTTATAAATCAATATTTTTTTAAAAGAAAAAGATAACTATGAGTTAAATTTAATTATCCCGAATCTATCCAGCATAGTATCCAAATACGTGCAGAGAAATAGTCAAAAGGAATAGTGCTTTTCGTACACTAATTAAAAATAATGGAATAAAATTTTACACATATCAAATGATAACTATAAAACTAATGTTCTAATTACAAATTTCTACACATGTTTATTTTGTTTAAGTACCCGTTTTTTGTGTTTGTATTCTAGCATTTGTAATCGACATCATAATTAGGAATGAGTTATGAAGGATGCTAAGCATTTTTCCTTGAATATAAATGCATTTGTTGTAACCAATGGGATGACTCTGGCCTAAAATAATAATTTACCAAAGCCTAAATAAAATGAAGATAAGATTATTTTTAATAAACAGTGATAACTTATTATAAAATATCAGATTCATTATAAACTGGTTCATATTCTAAAGAATTTAATCTTTGAAGAATCTGTGAACTAGAAGGTCGTTTAAACGGATCATCCTCCCAACACTCTGAATATAATTTTATATATTGACAAGGTGTTGCATTTATAGGTTTTTCTCGTAAATTTTCATTAATAATTCGACTGCCAAGCATACTTATTTCTTTCGTTTTAAAAGGGATACGACCACTTGAAATTTCCCAGAAAAGTACGCTAATGCTATAAATATCTGATTTCTCATTCAAAACGTATTTCTCATTACGAAGCTTTTGAGGATCAATATAAGGAATTATTCCAAAAACTCTTCCCTTAGTTGTCATTGTACTATTAATGTTTTTGGATAAGCCAAAATCGGCAATTTTGATATTTCCATGATGTACAAGAACATTTTTAGAATGCTAGAAAAGATGTTTTATATAAGTTCATATTTAATTCATATGTTAATTATGTAATACGAAATAAAGACTTGAACCTACCAAATCACGATGAATAATTCCTATGCTATGCAAATAATCCACACCTTCTACAATTTGTGTCGCTATTCGAATTCTCTCATTCCAGTTTAAATTTACATTTTGTATATATTTTTGTAATGTTCCACTCTCAGCAAATTCCATTACAAGACAGTGAGACTCATTATTTTGATCTTTTAACAAATATAATTATTTGTTAACTTTTCTATTTGCAATTTAATGTAAATTAGAAACTAACCTCGGCTTATTCCATATAATTGAATAACACGAGAATGAGTGGCTTGACTATGTAGCTTTATCTAAAATTAAATAAAAATTTTAACTGAAACCTAAGAAATTGCATATTTTATGCGTGTAAAATAATTTTGAACAGTACCTTATTAATAAAAATTTTAATATTTTCCTCGTCATCATCTGATGTAATATGCACATCTTTTATTACAACTATTCCCTCTTTTATTGAACTACAAGTAGTCGTATAAACCATTCCAAATGCACCTCTACCTATCTGTTTCATTTTGCCTTATTTATTTATTATTATTATTTTTATT